ATACAAACTTTCCACATTGGCTGGCATTTAGGGGCCGATTACATGGACGATTTCAACCCCGGGGTTAATTGAAATGCTATGTATACTATACGTACGTTCTCGGCATCGATTCCCGGGAGTAAAAAAGCCTTTATTTTGTTTTCTTGTAATAAATAGTCACTACCACGTATGCTCGAATAACTCATGATAATTTCAGCCCTGGGTTGAAACGATTGCATGACAAAATTTTAACCAGGCTGAAGCAGGGTTGAAATTTCAACCCCGGGGTTGAACTCAGCCCTGGGTTGAAAATTTTGTCATGTAAAATTTTGTCATGAAAATTTTGATTTTGATAGAGTTTTGTATTACAGACAGGGCTGAAATTTCAACCCGGTAAACATGCAAGGCTGAGTTCAACCCCGGGGTTGAAAATGCTTCATGTAATCGGCCCCTTAGTGGGTTTAAATTAGCCAAATATGAGTCAGTTATTAACGCAGGACCTCATTCAGACGGGCCAGCTAGCTTGATTCCATATAAATGCAAGATGACATTTTTAATGGGAAATTTAACAAATACAGGATCTTGCCAAAACCGGGCCAGCCCAGGTACAGAGTAATTATGGATCATAGTCCAATGCATACCGAAGATCACTCTCGGCTTTTTACTTGATACATTTTTTTCGATACCGATTAGCATACCTAAAACAAAACAAATTTGACGCATCTTTATAAACATCTTCAAGATTCACCATTGGCGCGCATTCTGCAACCAGCACTAAAATTAGAAACATGTTAATTATTAATTACTGCTGGAACTAAAAATTCTCTAAACAAACAAGAAAATGACGAAATTTACAGCAAAATTTCAGTAAATTATCCCGAAAAACACTTACTCAAAAAGTGGAATACAAACACCCCAGAATATTCCTGCATCTTTAAATTATAAAAGCAAAAATAAAAACTTGTAAACAATAAAATTGCTTTGCTTGGATGCATTTTTGTCACAAAGCGCTGTTAATGTGACCTGTGATCTGCAACTCGAAACGGAAATAGCTTTAGGGTAGGGTAGGTCGGGTGATTTTTGTTTGCATTTGGAATTTTTCCGGTGCTTTGTTTAATCTTTTCAATGGTGCTAATAGCTTGTTTATTTGACAGATAATATTTTAACGGGAGTATAATATTATGATGTAAAAGTTATTTTGTTATAGAAGCGAGTTTTTAGTCGAAAAAACCGGCTTGCGAAGGTAGTCAAAACGAAGATAAACGCACCCTCCCTTCCCATCTCGACTCGTGACGACACTGCGTTTCCGGCGAAACACATACATTTCTCGAGTTGGAACTTGCAAACTTCGGAGTTCAAAATGAAGAAGGTTTTCGGAATGATAAACAAGAAAAAAGGGGAGGACTCTGACGAAGAGTGGCCTAGCTATACAGACCCGACAGTGTTACACGCCACGGATCCGCCTTCGCGAAATTCTAGAGGCATCTTGCAACCACATTATCCACCACCTCGTCCATGTCATAGCGGTAATTCGCCAAATCCACGTCGAAAGAACCCAGATACGGCCGTTGTACAAGGGAATAAAAAGCCTCAGCTTACAGAGAACAACAGAAATAGTGCCTCGAATTTAGTTACCTGCGAACCAAAACGCGCTCCACCACGAATAAATGTTACGAAAAAGGTAAATAGACTTTCTAAGTTTAGCACATACATATTATTCCACATTCATTGTCAAATGTCTACTTGAAAATGTTTACGAGACAGTGTTCAGAGGCTCTAAATTTATTTCAAAATGGCATGTAAATATTCAAGAGGGAACTCTGTGTTATTTGCGAGTATACGCGTAAAATATTTTACGATAATAACCCGGTTTCATTAACCTTCTGACATATAAATATATTTGGCATTGTTTTGAACTCATTGCTGACCTAGTAATTTAAATATTCGTCTCTAAATAGATTTCTAATTTAAGCCAAACGTTCGATATATCTACCCTAATCCACAAGTGATAATATGAGCTTAATAGATGTGATTTCGGTGTAGAATTCATTCATCAAAATTGTTTGAAATAGAATATGTGGAAAACTTTTTACAGTGGGAAGCGTTGAGCAACGCAATGAATTATGTTTATTTATGAGAACACGCCTCGATGACCTCATAAAACTCCATGAGTCGTATATACTTTTCCAAACGATTCTCAAAAATAAGCTTATACGTTCTAATAACTAATTAGAACCATTCCTGGACATAATTGAAACATGAGGCGACCGACAGTTGAATGAAGAATATTCCCAAGCAGAAGTCTATTATTACAAATTAAGTTCTTTTTAAAATCTGTTATTTTTTTGTTCAATTGAAATTATAGTGATTATAAGCTTTTCCATCATTTGCATCTGACAACAAACAGTGGGAAATAGAACGTTGTATATTCTCATGTGAAAATTTCATATTTGCTGTTCATATATAGGCGGATGCGATACTGAAAAAAATCAATATATCGATATCGAAAAAAATATATCGATAACATCAACTATATTGAATTATGCAAATTAGAAAACAACAAGCACACATTAAAAAGATTTATTTACAACAGTATATTGAACCGCTTGGGGGGGGGGCTTGTCGGGGGGGATCTTTGCTGATCACACTTACTCTGTTTATGCTTTTAAATTGCCCACACGCTTGCTATTTGAATTTGCAATTGCCGTCATACACATATTTTTTTAAACATTACTGGACAATAATTGCCAAAAAAGGAGCTTATTATAAAGTTGTATAGTTAAAACTCTTGATATTTTCAATATGTGAAAATTTGAATATCGATATTTTTGAAATATCGATTTTTATTGAAAATATTTCTATATCGCATCAGCCTATTAAACTTAACAGACTTTAATCTCGTCAGCCAATCATGAAACTTACCGGTCACAACAGATTTTTTGCTGCTCATCTTTTGGATTCCTGACTTGCGCCTCTTTAAGTGTGCTTGTATAAGTATGATTACGGATAATTATTCTGAAGAAAATGCTTACTTTCTTGGCGAGAATAACGAGAAAAAGTTGTATAAACAATTGAAAATATATTTACTAGTTGAATACTACATACAGTAGGAATACAAGAATATTATTTTACAAACAAAACAATTGTTTACTGTAACATACCGGCCCGAGCCACAATGTGTTACTGAGCAATGACAAATGATAATTTTGAATGAAAGTAAATTGGAGAAAAAAATCCACTTGTGTAGTGTGTACCCATTATTTTCATTAAAAATTTTCCTGGTCATGTATGCATGTCTGTAAGTAATAATATTTGCCGGTCAAACTGTAAAACTTACCTGTCAATGACCGGTTATTTCGAGGCCGGAGGCCACCCTACCATATGTGTTTATTTAGCCGCTTGTGATTAGCTGAACTTAAATGTTCAAAATAAATTACGGTTTATTAAATCTTTAAATTAACAAATGAATATAAAAAGCCACCTGCCCAGACATTCTGGCAAAGATAAACGACAATCACCCAACTAATAAACCTACGCATAAACTAGAAAGTAAAAACCAAAAATAAAAATGTGCTGTGCATAGTCAAATATAAAACTTCCTGCATATGTGGATTTCAGAGAAATTATGTATTGTGCTGCATGTTGTGATAAACTTCAATTTAAACACAAGGGAAACTCAACTTGCAAAACACATTTAACATTTTTAAACAATAAGTAAATTATATGGATTCTAGTACCCTGTATATAAGATGACAAAAATTCCTGCAAGGTGTAAGAACATTTTCTGTGCAAATATTTTGTTAATTTCCTGGCACAGGCAGCAGTTCTGCTGGTAGTGCCAGAAATTTTCCAGCACTGCACATAAACAGTCTCCAACCTCGTACCCAGGGTCTTTCCTCTTGTGGAGAAAAGACCCTGGTAGACGCTGGTCACGTGATCTGCTAAAATCTAGCAGATTTCTAATTAACTATAACTTTAAGTGGCAATGCACCCTACTAAATTTAGCATTTTACTCGCCAGACCATTTTACTTGTCAAGTGCAGAGTGCTGCCACTCAATAGATTAACCAAACAAGCTGCCCATGTATCCTCTTTACCCATTAAGTGGCAATGCACCCTGATGCACCCTACTTTAGCATTTTACTCTGTCTAACACCAGATGATTTTACTTGTCAAATGGAGAGTGCTGCCACTCAATGGGTTAAACTATAAAAATTATCCAAATATCAAATATTTATTGACCTCATCTTAGATTGCTAATTAAAAATCTGGTGGATTTTAGCAGATCACGTGACCAGCATCTACCAGGGTCTTTTCTCCCCTCGCCATGAGGAAAGACCCTGGGTACGAGGTTGAAACAGTCTTCTGAATTCAATACCAGAGGCTAACATCTTTTGCATGAATTCAAATCAAATGTCCATTTCAGTTCTTATTTTCTAATTTGAAATTTAATTGAACCTGTCTATTTAAGCTGTCTTCAGATGCAGAAGATGATTATTGCGACCCAATCGACGTTCAGCGAAAAGACGACTTCATCCAAGAAATGAAAAGCAGCAAGCCAATCAAGGATGATTATTGTGAGCCTTGGGATTCCACAATCAAGACTGACGCAACAAACGTGTCGTCGAAGAAGCAAGGCAACTCCGATGATGAACACAATGAATATCTTGACCCATATGACACAGGGAAAGAGGGTATTATCGAGAAACGAATGAGCCGAGGGTTTGTACGAGAATTTGGTGTACCACATGGGAAAGTTTCAACGACTGAGCAGAGAAGGAATGCAGTTGATGACCCAAGGTTTGTATTTAAATTGACTGAATACACCCTTTCGATAATTATTTCACACATACTTATGGGTCTCCGAGCCTCGCTCTCATTAGTAAATTATGCAAGGTGAGTGGTTCACTATTCATGAGAACGAGGCTCCCAGGCCAAATGACATAGTTATTGAAAGGGTGTAGTGGCAGCACCCTTCCCTTGACAATCATGTTTGGCATTAGACAGAGTAAGATCATGTAGCATTAGCCAGAGTAAAATAATAAAGTTGGGCACATTACTGTAGGGTACAATGCAACTTAATGGGTTAGTAGAAGGCAGACATGGTGGTTCCAAGTACTAGCGGTAACAACATAAATCAACAAATACACTGTATGTGTTTTGTAGCAAAAATTCATCAGATGATTATGACACACCTTGGGAATGGAAACAAAAGATCCAAATGCAGCAGAGTAGAATGAAAGCTCCCAAACCCACAGCACAGCGACCAAAATCAAATCACGAGCAAGACAAACAACCCTCGACGAAACCAACCGATGACTATGATGAGCCATGGGAAAAGAAACAGAGTTACTTGCTAAAAACACAAGTACCCAAACCCCGCTCACCCGTACCCCTCCCAAGACAAACCCACCCTCAAAGCAATGACAGTCAACTGTACGAACAACCGTGGGACGCTATGAACCAACCGAACGGCCAGCAACCACAGGCGGAAGGTGTGTACGAAACCCCCTGGGATGCAACAGGTGGGGGTGCAGCCAATGGACGTGCATCGCCTCGTAGGTTTTCCCAGCCTGCCTCATCAATGGGTGGTCCTGTTTATATCAACAGAAAGTTCTCACAACCTGTGATACCCTCAGCTCCAAGTGATGATTACGATACACCATGGGAATATAAGAATAAACAGTTCGGAGTGATGGGGCCTCCTAAACCAATTCGACTTCATGAGATCGCTAATTCACAACCGGTCGATCCCAATTTACCATTAAATCAACAGAGGTAAACATGAAATTAGTATGAATTATTTTAAAGTCTTGAAAGCATATATACTGTATGTGGCCATAAAAAAATGAAACATCTTATTATTATGCTAAAGCCTGAAGCCCTCGTCAAACAGGAAGGGGAAATTCTAATCTGCCAAATCTAATCAACTCTCCTCAACTTTGAGCTTGGTTAAAGTTTGATACGAGTTGACGAAAGTGTGGTAATATCCTTCTCATCAAACTCTCGTGCAAATTCTCGCTTCCCAACTCTCATCTTTCTTTACAAAATTTGAATGCCCTTGAAGGTCCTTGAACTTGAAAACAAATATTCAAGGTCTTGAAATTCCTTGATTTTATAAAGAAATGCTTAATTGTCCTTGCTTTAGTTTTTTGAAATTTTTCTGAAATTGGTTTGGCATTCAAAAACGGACAATTTTGTTGAATTGATTTTGCTTACAGTATGTCTTACCAAACTTTTTGAAATTCATTAAATTTGCCATTTAAACAGTTAAATGTAATTTTTCACTAGTTTCTAACACCCTCTTTTCAGCCATTTGATCCTTGAATTAAGTCCTTGAATTCTGAAGAACCTTTATTGGTCCTCTAATATTTCCAAGCATATACGATCATACGTTTTCGTTGCTTGATTTTCTGACTTGTTTGTTGCTATAAGAATCTACAGTTTAACATGTTTGTATAATTTAAAAGCAAACAGAAACCAATTTAGCAAGTATTTTGAAGTATATATGATTCTCAAAGATGATTGTACAGAACGGTCACTCCTTGCAATCGAAGTGTGAAGTGCGGAAGTGGAAACATGTAATTTGATACTTTTCCATCCCCCTCTTAGGTTATCAATTTTCTATGGGTCACGTGACCAGCCCCGACCAGGGTCTTTCCTCAAAAAGAGGGAAGAGCCTGGGAACGAGGTTGCCAATGGTTATCCTGCGTCGTTCTAAGCAACGCACAGACGCGTTTTTATTAGCTAGGCCTGCAGGCTCTCTCAAATTTCAAAGAGAGTCCAATTTAGTCCTTGAATTTTACTCTTCCTGACTTGTACGAACGCTGTTTTTCTGTTTAGATTGAGTAAGCGTCGAGACATTTTCTGTAAAGGTTTAAAAATTATAAAGTTCTTCAACAAGCTTAAGTAACTTTCTGCCTGAACTACAGTACATACAGTACAGTACCTGAATAATATTCGGAACATTAGATCGTAGTACGCACTATATTAGGGACCGGTCATTATTTATGACGGGAGATGGTAAAATTTTACTGATTCAACAATTTAAAAGTCTTTGTTTTTACCCACCCTCAAATATCAATTAGAAGATAAATACTGTACCCACCCCTGGCCAAAAACTTTACAAAAGGATACCATTCAGTTGCCACACATGTCCTTTACCACTTCTGTGACACGAGTTTGATGACTGTCTGCAGTCTAAAATTTCATATTGTCTGCGCATGTACTTTCTTTGGAGACACCATTTGCTTCCTGACAAATCGGAAAATTATCAAGATACAAGTGACTCTGATTGATTCGCATATCACATCGCCATATGACTGTTGACAGTGCTTTTTAGTCTCCAATATTTGAGTGAGTCATGCTTTGGAAACGACAATGCATTTTTATTACCCAACCCTTGAATTGTTTTGTTTATCATTTACCCAACCCTTTTCTCTTCGGTGCCCCCCCCCCCGTCAAAAATATTGACTGGTCCCTAACCTTTTGACGAAGCCGAAGGAACTTCTTTAAAAAGATCTGGAAGCTCAATCCCAACTACAACAAGATATTTTGATAGCATTTTACTGTGTAATTCAATTCACCTTATTGATTTATAGTTGGTACCATGGTCCATTAACACGACAACAAGCTGAAGAATTGCTTCGCGGTCGACAAGACTGTAGTTATCTCGTCCGAAACAGCGAGAGCAGCAGGAAAGATTTCTCCTTGTCAATGAAGTAAGTACAATATGATTATTACTTGGACGACAAATATTAGGTTGTTCACTATGGAACTTAGATGATGATGATAATGGTGGTGATAATAATGATAATGGTGGTGGTGATGATAATGGTGGCGATGATCATGATGGTGGTGATGATGATAATAGTGATGATGATAATGGTGATGGTGATTATGATGATAATGGTGGTGGTGAGTATGATGATAATGGTGGTGATGATGATGATGGTGGTGATGATGATAATGGTGGTGATGATGATAATGGTGGTGATGATGATAATGGTGATAGTGATTATGATTATGATGATACTGGTGATGATGATGATAATGGTGGTGGTGATTATGATGATGATAATGGTGGTGATGATGATGATAAAGGTGGTGGTGATGATGATGATAATAATGGTGGTGGTGATGATGATGATATGGTGGTGGTGATGAATGATGATAATGGTGGTGATGATGATGATAATGGTGGTGATGATGATAATGGTGGTGATGATGATAATGGTGGTGGTGATGATGTAATGGTGGTGATGGTGACGATGATGATAATTGTGGTGATAATGATTGTGATTGTAAAATTTAATTAATAATTCAGTAATAATTTCTGAGTGGACAATGTCCGCATTTCAAAGTATTTCTTATTTTTTCATCGTGTTTTCCTAGGAATAACGAGAACTTTCTTCATCTTAAAATTGTTCGCCAACTCGACGGTCAGTTTATTCTGGGTCAGTTCAGCAAGCCGTTTATGGACATTCCTAAAGTAATTTTTCATTACTCTAAAAACAAACTCAATATACGCGGAGCCGAACACAAATTTTTAAAACACCCGGTACATGGCCAACCCGAGTACCACACAATTGAACCAGAAGACGATGATGGTATCGATTTATAACATTCCGAGAAACGGGTGATTATTCGTGGTAAGAATTCTAGAATTCTAGAAAATTTCCGGAAAACCGTTCCAGCCAATGAAAATGTTTTGTTTTGGCAATTTTTCCGGCGTTGTTGAATGTGAAAATGATAAAATACATTTATTAATTGATATTGGCGAAATTAATTGATTTATACCATAGTCAATTAAGATGTGGTCTGGAAACCCGGCCAAAGCACCCCCTCCCCGACTGCCAACATTTATCCAATGGCCTTATTTCATCGAGTCACTTAAAGTGATTATGCAACTCATGATCTTGGGGTACAAAATCGATAATTTTGAATCAATTATCTATAAGAGTTAAACAGTAAAGCATCCGTATGCAGTTTTACCGAATTATCTCACGAAGGAATTACATACGTAAACGAAATTCTTTAGAAGCTACTTTATAGTTCTGACGATTCTTTCAAATGGAACAATAAAAAAATTGCGTCTGTCACCCTTAATTAAAGGACAATGGCAACAAAAGATTTTTTATTGTCTCATCTATCAAATGTTGTTACGGATTTTTCATATCAAGCTTAACTCTTGAAATATGTTGACTGAAAGCAATAAGGTGTCCGCCATCTTGAATTAATTCTTAAAGGTGATCTACAGTCCGATCTGCGCATGTGCACAAATGAGCCCACTTTTTATGATACAAACAGTTTAACTATGTTTTGAGTTCTTGAAAAGCCTGATTGTTGTTTCTTGATCATTTATTATACTCTAGAAGCTTGAAAATATAAATAGTTGTCGAATAAAGCTCAATATTTTGGACACAAAAATATAAACAAAGGCTTTGTTTACATACGGACTGTAGATCACCTTTAACTTCATTAACTATGGTTTTGATAACGTCAGGAGTGGGGTTAGCCTTATAGAATTACTTCTAAGTTACTGAGTAACAATCAAAAGTTGTGTAAAATGTTTTTATTCAATTCGAAATTTGAAGTAGCAACCAAAAACGAGTTTCGTGCTCATATTGATGAATGGCTGTCAAGATAAAAAAAACTTGCGTGATCCCACTTGTGACGAAATATGCATATCCAAGACAGCTCATAGCTTTCAGTGAAAACATTTCAAGAATCAAGCAAGATATTTAAAAATCTGTAACAATATTATATAGATAATTTTAAACGTTCTCTTTCAAGTGAGACAATAAAATTTGTTGCTGCCATTGTCCTTTTTTAAGTAAGCATAATTTGGAAAAAAATTGTACACAGTAAATTGGTCTCAACATGAAATTGCATGGTCTCAACTTAAAATCGTAGTTCATAGACGCTTTGACGTTTGCCCAGTTTCAAGACCATATCTCGCTTGACTATGTTTATAGTGAATGTATATTATGATAAGATAATAATATTGAGAACATAGATTTTATCAATTATGGATGTTGGTGATAGGATTCAAATAATAGCGTCGAAGGTATTTTGGTATAGGGTTTTTGAGTTTAAGTGTCATTTTATTATCAAATGGCAGTTTAGTTTGATTGCCATATTTTGAACGTTGTAAAAAAATTCTACTAAAGGAAGCCAGCAATACACATTTGAATGATATAAAATAACTACGGTATGGTTTACACGAGGTCGGGACACTATATTAAGAACAGGAAGGCTATTGAAGTGTACAGCAAGTTCACATGTTGTTAGCCTTGTCGTTGTCCTTTTGATTGATGTGAACGAGTGGATGAGTTACGAATGTTCCGATGAGGGACAAAAACTCAGAACATTCATGATGCATCCACTCGTTCACATCATAGATATCTTGTATACACTAAATAGCGCATCTCTTTTAGTAAAATTGAAGCCAATAATACCCCAGGGGTTACCCCCATTTGAATAGATGGCGGCCATGTTGGAGTTTCCCACTCGCTGATAAACGCTTAAAAAACAAGGCCAAAAAAAAATATGTGGGTTTCCGGTTTCTTCTTATAAAAACTTAGGTAGGGTAGGTCGGTTTTAACTTTTTTTTAAACTTTTTTTTTAATTTTCCGAACAAGCGGACGCCATTTTGTTTAGTCAGTGCTTCCACATCCAAAGATAAATTTCCCTAATATTGCCTCAAATTTCAATTTTCCACAAACTTTTTCCTCTAAGTGGAAACACTTACAAGCATGATCCAATAAAAAAGTTTAGGGTCGGGATTTCGACGTCCAAAAGCTAGGTAGGGTCGGGAAACCGGAAACCCACATATTTTTTTTGGCCCAACAATAACTTTCATCATTTGAATAGTTTGAAAATGTATTTGGAATAGGTTTAACTTAATGTTTAAGTTCCCTGTTTAAGAAATAGAAAACATACGAGTCTTCTCATTTCATGGGAATATCCTGAGTCTGCAATCACGGCTTCAATTTTTGAATTGCAGAATAGTTAGATGCACTATCTAGTATATACAAGATATCTATGGTTCACACCCATCAGAAGAAAATCGCGCTAGAAATCGCAGCAAATGTTGCAAATGTAAACGAGCCTTTAAATTTTTCTGGTACCGTATGATTATGAAGGTATTTAATAAAACTGTAATTAATGACAGAGTAGCTATATGTGATGTAAATACACGAAAATTAGCATTGCAGTACCAGTATGGATCAGAAAAAGACGGTGAGCTTAGCTGGCGGAGCGTTGAGGTTGCAGCCAAGAGGATACAAGCTCAACTCAAGATCTCTTGGGATTCGCAAGAAACTTTGTTGTGTTCAAACTGGTTGTGCTATCAATACAAGCATCATCAAATACTGAATAAATCGAACATAAATTGTGAATGACCGATGAATTGATATTTGTAAAAAAAATAGGTTGAAGTAAATTACCTTTTATTGTATTTGTGATCATTCTCTTGCAATAGTATAGGAATCGAGGGCTTGAAATTCTATTCAGTCCAAATGACATCTCGTGTTCTATATTAAAGTGGCACTAATTCCAAATTATGATTTTTGGTACATGTATGCAATACTTGGGTCATTCTAACATGAAATGTAATATATCTTTATAGTAAAAACCTCTACTTGATTGGATATGAGTTAGTTTTTGGATAAAAAAAAACACAAAGGAAAAGTAATCTATAATTCATCTAATGACATCAAGCATGTCTGGAAAAAAGTTGATCAAGATTACTATAAAGATTATTACATTTCTTCTAAAGGTAATTCCGCAGTTTTGCATTGCGCACTTTTACTGCGCACATCTTATAACTTATAATTTACGTATAATGGATACGTACCGTTTAAAAAAAAATCATTTTATGACAATTTTATGTTACTTCAAAACATCTTTGGTTACATTCGTGCAAAGAATTACGTTAAAATCAATGTTTTCAAAAAAGACATACAAAAGTGTAGCTAGGGTTCCTGTGTCTGTAGTATATTTATTTACTTGTATTTCACGTTTTAATGCCACAATTCCCTAAAAAGATCGGTGACCCCCGTTTTTTAACTGATAATTTATTTCTTTAATGCATTTTACATTTCATATCCGAAATTAAAAGAAAAATCATTTCTGGATCTTGAAAAAAAATCCTTTAAGAAAGATATGTAAAGAAATGTGCAAAAGACATTTGTGGATCAGAACTGGTGTCGACCCCGACTTTTTTGTGTGAGTTTACTTTAAGTATATCATAAACTCCATGCCTGAGAAGTTTCAGCACATTCTCATTTCGGGAACAATTACTGCGGAATTACCTTAACATGACCCAAATATTATATTACACATACCAAAAAAGTCTTATTTGGCGTATTAAAATCGAACTTTAATGGGTATATTTCCAA